AGACTTTAATTTTTTTACAGCAGTAGAAGGCCCCATCTTTCTCCCATAGACCGACTGGTGGCTTCAAACTGCTGACCTTGCAACTGGCAGCCCAGTGCACAACCACTATATCACCAGGACTCCTCAGCACACTCATGGCCAAGTATTATTCTTCAAGGTAGTTATTTTCTTTACTGGGCTCCCCCCACCCCCACCCTCCCACTTCCCCAAGTCAGAAAGGAGAGTAGAGAGATGTGGGGAGGGCAGGGTTACTGGGTTTTCTTCTATCTATACTAGCGGAAAAATGAAGGAGCCCAGGCTGAGTAGTGGGTTGCACATTGGGCTTCTAACCACAAGCTTGGCCGTTTGAAATCACCAGTTGCTCTTTGGAGAAAAGATGAGGCTTTTTATTCTCAAAGATTTACAGTCTCAGATGCCCACGGGGTGGTTTTATTCTGTCCCATAGGGTCGAAGTGAGTTGGAATCGGACTCCGTGGTAGTGAGTTTGGTTTTTTGGTTTACAAAGCAGACCTGGGAAAATGCCTGGAGCACATTTAGGATTAAACAAGGCAGACCAGCCTACAGGCATAATACACTTTGCATGTGGTGTGAAATCCGAATCCCGTCTCTCTCCAGTGGGAAGTGAGAATCTCCAAGCCCACCAGCTGCCATCGTGTGTTTCCGACTCCTGTCGATGCCGTGGGTGTTGGAGGAGCACTTTGCTCCGTGGGGTTTCCTGCACCCGGCATTTTCAGAGGCAGGTCGTCAGAACTTTCTTCCAAGCTATCTTTGGGTAGACACCAACTGGCCCGCCAGCCTTTCAGTTAGCAGCAGAGCACATCAACTGCCTGTGCCTCCCGGGGAGCCTGTGAAAGCCACCAGTCAGGACAGTCCAGGATTCCTGCTTGACAAAGCTTGGGAACATTGAAAGACGATACAGAATAAACTTTTAATTCCATACCCCGTCTGCCTGGGTCACCTGAAATCTTTTTATCCTGTAACATTACATTTTAATTCCCTATTACACTATGGCCTTCCACTTTTCTTTTTAATCACAAATGACAAATGCGAGTTCTTTTTGAAAGTGGACATGATCCAGGCTATTAATATTGTTATGCTATCCATTTTTACAATGAGAAAACTGGGACTTAGGGAGGCACAGGGTCTCCCCCAAGCTCACCCAGGGTCTGGATTTGAACCCAGGTATGCAGAGGCCTTAGTCCTAACCTGGTGCTCTCATATGCTGCCCCCACTGCATCACAAAGTCAGGACCCTGCCCTCAGAGTGGTCTAGGGTTCTCAGTGGTCGCCATGGCAGTCCTGTTCCCCCACAGATGTGGGTTTTTTCTGTCCTGTGAGTGAACTGTATGCTCCGAGAGCATGAGGGATGAGTCTTTTTATTTCTTCAACTCTGCTCACAGACTCAGTGTCAGGCCTGCTGATAGGTGAGTGTGGTCCATGCCTCCTCTGTCCCACAGGCATTGCCGTGTGCATCGGAATGGCCAGCACCTTCGCCTACGCCAACTCCACGCTCCGAGAACAGGTCTCCCTGAAGGTGAGTCACCTGGTATTAGTCTCCAATGGCTGCTGTAAAGTATGACCACAAACTTGCCGGATGACAACAACACAGATTCATTAGTTTACAGTTGTCTCGAGCAGAAGTCTGAAGTGGGTTGTAATCCAGGCATCAAAGAGATATTCTTTTCTAAAGGCTCCAGGGAGAATCTCTTCCCTTGTCTTTCCCCCCTGCTAGAAGCTGCGTGGCTCAGGGCCCCTCCTTCCATCTTCTCTGTGACCATCCTCCGATGTCCCATTTCCCTCTGACTCTCTACCTCCTTTTAAGGACATCAGTGCTTACATCGGGCCCACCCAGATAGTCCAGAACAACCTCTCTGTACTTGAGGTCAGCTAATGAGGAGCCTTAGTTCCATCTCCTACCTTAATTTTGCCCTTGTCCATGGAACATAACACAGGCACAGATTCCTGGGGTTAAGCCATGGACATCTTTGGTGGCCATTCATCTGCCAATTACCCGGAGCATATCCCCACCCCTGCCCTCCTCCTGTCCTCTAGCAGCGGTCTGTCCTCATGGGCTCCCCACCCAGTCCTTTCCACTCTCTTGGAATTCAGTGTGTTGGCTCACTCCTCCCCCTCAATGAAGCCTGTTACCCTGATGCTGCCAGGTAGGATTCGCCACCACCCTGAATCCCCTCTGATAGTTGCTCTGTAGTGACTGTTTGCCCAGCTCAGATCTAAGCCCATGGCACATCCTGTCTCATGAATTCATTGCAACTATCCTGAAAGGCAAGCAAAGACACTCTTATTTTCTAAATCAAAATACAATGCCTCAGAGATGTCAAGTTCCTAGCCTTAGGTCGTAAGAGCTGACACAGGTAGTGGCCTCAGGACTTGAACCTAGGTAGTTGACCCAGAGCCTATGCCCATCCTTTGTCCAAAAGCCATTTCCACTGGGAGCTTCGAACAGATTACATGGTAACTCTCAGCCTCTCAACGGGACCATTCATGCTAGCTTCACAGACTCAATGAAAGGATTAAGTGAGATATCATAAATAGAAGAAATGTAGAACAGAAAACATTTATTTATATGTATTAGGCTGCTAACCACAAGGTCAGTAGTTCAAAACCACCAGCTGCTCCTTGGGAGAAAGATGAGACTTTCTATGCCCTTAAAGAGTTACAAGCTCAGAAACCCACAGGGGCAGTTCTAGCCTGTCCCATAGGATTGCTATGAGCCAAACTTGACTCAATGGCAGCCACTTTGGTTTTGGATGTACGTGCCTTTAAAATTTAGGATTTTTACTATACATGCAATCCTATAATAATCACCTTCAATTTTGACCTTACTCTGGCACCCTCCGTTTTCTCGAAAGTCCTCAGACCTCCTTGAGGCACAGAGAGCAGCTTAGTCTCCATTTGACCCCGGAGCACTAGGAGGTCCAGAATTGGGAATGGAGCCGGAAGTTCTTGCCCTCAGTCTAGGCTTCGTGCACTCTCCACCTGCTGCTGTTGAAAGGACAGGTTGACTCCGTACCACAGTGGGAGGCTTTGGAGCTGGTTGTTTCTCAAAAGCAGTTAGACCCCAAATGGGGCCTTGACTTGAATTTTAGGGACTAGAGGATGCGTGGACCCTTGGGCGTCTTGCAGACGTCCTGAAGCCCTATGACGCTACACGTGCTATCTTGCCTGAGTGGGCAGGTCCACGGAACTCTCAGGAGGAACAGGAATCTCAGCTTCTCCAGGAAGCTCCCTCCTGTGTCCTTCTGAGCGTGGCTGCTCAGACCATCACTAATTCCCCCTTTCTGCTCCACCTTCAGTCTGGATTTGCAGAGAGTTAAACTGGAGTCTATTATTAATTGGGTAAAAAGGACTGCTGAGTGGACTGATCACGTTGGTAAAAGCAGGTGGTTGGATGGAGGTCGTTAACCTTGACCGCTCCTGGAATAATGGGTGGATGGAGAGGATTCATTTCTCTTGTCCACTCTATGGAAATGCCTGTCGGATCAGCGCGGGATGCTCGTCTGTGTCTGGAGACAGTGGGTATTGAGCATTTACGGAAACCGCAGGGAAGGTTACCCTGGGAAAGTTATGACCTCATCTTATTCCAGCAACGCAGCTGCCCTGGTCCAGGAAAAGACTCACTGTTGAGAATCAGTAGCAGAAAGGTCTGCTGCATCTGTCTCCCGAGTCCTCGGCCCTTCTCTGCACCTCCTCCGGCCATTTCCACGGTTGAAAAACGACTGTGAGAGTACGAATGGAGCCGAGTTTCCCAGGGTCTTCTGGGGAGTGAACGGAAGGGATGATGGAGAGAGAAATGACTATTGGGGGCTTTAGTGGCCAGGCACAGACGTTTGAATTTAAGTCCCATAAAGACAGCCCTACTGTGAACAGCTAGCCCAAGGGAGTGTTCTAGTAGGCCATTCTAGGAAAAAGTAGAGCAGATGTCTCTAACCAATAGATCTGAATCTACCGCTGTCATAAAGTCTTAACAGTTAGTCATGGCATTTCATGAACATGATATGTGTGTGTGTGTATGTGTGCGTATCAATATCAGATGAGATGGTCTGTATCTATAAATGCTCATTCTTAACCACACCTTATTTGCATATTAGGACTCTGGGGCTTAAAACTTATTTCCTCGCAAGAAAGGTCACCTAACAGGAACTGTGTGCCAGCCACTGTCCTAAGCACTTCATATCCATGGGTTCTCAGAATTCCACCAGCTAGATACTAGCATATACCCGTTTTGCAGATCAGAAAGAAGAAATAAAATGCAGAGCGCTTAAGTAACTTTCCCGAGTGCTTAACTCCCAGACCAAGGATGTCAACCTAGGCCAGCGGTTCTCAACCTGTGGGTGGCGACCCCTTTCGGGGTCAAATGACCCTTTCACAGGGGTCGCCCAATTCATAACAGTAGCAAAATTATAGTTATGAAGTAGCAATGAAAATAATTTTATGGTTGGCAGGTCACCGCCACATAAGGAACTGTAGTAAAGGGTCGCGGCATTAGGAAGGTTGAGAACCACTACCTTAGGCCGAAAACGCTGGAATCTGTGCTGCTAACCACTGTGCTTTCCTGCCTTTCTGGATGGTTCACCAAGCTGGTTTTCCCATTTCTATGACCCCGGGATCTGAGTGAAACAGAAAGATGCTAGTGCCCTTCCTCAGCTTCAGCATCAGTTCCACCTTCTCCAAACCTTTGGGGGAAAGTCATTTGTCATACATGCTGGAATATTCTGCCTGACAGCATTCCCACAAGTCTCTTGCTCTGTCTCCAGGAGAAGCGGTCGGTGCTGGTCATCTTGTGGATCTTAGCCTTTCTGGCGGGCAACACCCTATATGTGCTCTACACATTCAGTTCCCAGCAGCTATACAACAGGTCAGTCCGAGGGTTTGACTCCTACAATGGGAGTGAGGGCTGGGGCTGGGTGGGTGTGGGGTGCCCATATCACTCCCCTACCCTCATCCCCGTCCCCCGCATGGTCAGTTGCAGATTCCACCCTGTGATGTGCACACATACTCTTCCTCTGAGTCATGGATGTCATTTTATGTTTCCTAGTAGCCACAAGAAAAATAAATAAAAACATCCCATGACCATAAAAGGCAATTCCAACTCATAGTGACCCTGTGTCTGAGGCTGGGAGCAAATGGCCTCATCATTGTCCCAAGGAGCAGCTGGTGGGTTAGAACTATTGACCTTGCAGTTAGCAGCTCAATGCTTAGCCCTCTATTGCCACCCAAGCTTTTAATACTATGTGGTATTATGTAGTATATAGAGTCTTCAGATTGGCTTCTTGCACCTATTAATGTGCACTTAAGCTTCCTCCTTGTCTTTTCTTTTTTTAAATCACTTTATTAGGGGCTCATACAACTCTTATCACAATCCATACACACATCAATTGTGTAAAGCGCATTTGTACATTCATTGCCCTCATCATTCTCAAAACATTTTCTCTCCACTTAAATCCCCAGCATTAGGTCCTCATTTTTCCCCTCCCTCCCCGCTCCCCCCTCCCTCATAAGCCCTTGATAGTTTATAAATTGTTATTTTGTCATATCTTGCCCTGTCCGACGTCTCCCTTCACCCACTTCTCTGTTGTCCGTCCCCCAGGGAGGAGGTCACATATAGTTCCTTGTAACCGGTTCCCTCTTTCCTAACCACTCTCCCTCCACCCTCCCTGTTTTGCCACTCACACCACTGGTCCTGTAGGGCTCATCTTCCCTGGATTTTCATAGTCTCAGAATTTAAAAAATATGTTATTCTTCCAGTTTAGCAAAAAGTTTATTTTTAAGAGTGAAAAGTTGGAAAGAACAGTTAAAGAACCAAAGTGCCTTCCAATTCTACCCCCCAATAGTACCAGTTAATATTTTTCTACATACGCATTCACATGTGTTGTGAAAGTTGTGTATTACTCTAAGTCAACACGTAGCATCTGAAGTTTCCTCTCTGTGTGCTAAGAATTTAGTAAGAAAACATTTCAGACAGGGCCTTAAGGGCTACTCCTTTAACCAGTGGGATGTTCTTACTTTAAGCAACGCTTGATCCTAGAACGAAGACAATCCAAGAAAAAGTTAACAAGAAGGCCTGAGAAAGGGTGAGAGCCAGGGAAATTTCTGGAATTTGACAATTAGTGTTTGTAGACATTCTCTCTGATATTTAGCTATTGGCATGAGTTGGTGTTTCACTAGCTGTCTCTATTCTTTAGCATCCAAGAGGAAAAGGCCCCAGTTGGCCTTTCATGGGTCAAGGGTCTAGTCCTGGCTCAGACAGGTGAGGCAGGACTGGGTCATGGGGTCCAGTGGGAATGTGGAGGATAAACCCGAGGGTGGCTGTGAAGCTAGTTTTCAGAGAAGTCATGGACTGAAATATATATATACAATTACCATGTAATTAATTCCAACCCATAGTGACACTATAGAACTTGAACCACTCCATAGAGTTGCCAAGCCTTTAATCTTTATGAAGCACACTGCCACCATCTTTCTTCCACAGTGTGGCTGGGGGACAGGACCAAAAACGCTCCAAACTCACTGCCATCAAGTGAGTTCTGACTCACTGGGACCCTATGGAACAGGGTAGAACTGTTCTTTTGGATTCTAAGGCTACAAATCATTGTGGGCTATAGTAGTAATGGCTAAGAATTAATAGCAAACTAGTCCCAAGAAATTTGAAAAAGTCTCCAAAAGTAGATTCTTGCAAGATAGTAAGTCTGTTCTATTTCACCCCCAGTCCTCCTTGAGTATATTTCCTCCCGTTTCTGGGCTCTGTGAATTGCTGTAGTGTCCCAAAGAACTCAGAAAGCTCGAGGGAATTTCTCACACGGTGGTACCAGGGTGCAGTTCAGTCTGAAGTTCGAAGATCAGGCAGGGGCAAGCCAGATGCTGGGGCCGGAAGACAAGCCTCACTCCTGGTTGTTGCTGGTGAGCAGAGCCCACCTCCTGCTGCTCTGAGGCCTCCTTTTATACACAGCGGGATGGTATTGCATAGAATCTTGCTGGCAGCTACTCACACAGGTCAGACTTCTCAGTATCTTCCCCCACCTTCCTACCAGACCCATGCAGGGAAAAGTTGTTTCCTACCAGACCCATGCAGGGAAAGGTTGTTTGGTGGGAGTTTCATGATGCAACCAAATTTCACCCCAATACAATAATCTATTCTCTACCCACGACTGTATCTTATTTATGAATATATGACCTGGAACCCCTGGGAAGATGTTTCCAGTAGGCATTGGCCTCCTACTAATCTTAGTCAGGCAGGCTTTTCCCAGCCCACTCCAGAAACCGTGTTCTTTCTCCTCTCCGCGGTAGCCTGTAATTCCTTACATCCATTGTAAGGAATAGTCACTGAGACAACCAGTAAACACAGTGTTGTCTGACTCAGACCTTCTACTGAGGCCAGAACTCAGTTTCATCCACTCCTGTTGGTTAGCAGATAACGCCCTCCTCAATGGGACCACACTACAAAATCCAGAATTATTCTCCCTCGTAGAAGAGATTATGGCTGAAAGGGCTGTATTCCAATATAATTCAAAAGCTTAGAAAGCCTCAACTTTCTCATGCAATGTGGCTAATGAGTTCAGACTGCTGACCTTGAGGTTAGCAGCCCAGTGCATAATCCACTATACATCAGGGCTTCTTTGATAGACTGGGAAGATACCCCAAAGCCCACCATGCCACAGAATCTCAGGGCTCTTTGCCAAGGGGTCCAGGAGACTGGGGGGAGTCACAGATCATATCAAACCCAGAGCTGTTCCTAAGACAAAGCTGAATACTGTCTTCTTTTTTTTTTTAATTTTCATAATTTTTATTTTAATTAATCATTTTATTGGGGGCTCTTATAGCAATCCATACATCAGTTATTTCAAGAACATTTGTTCATATGTTGCCATCATCATTTTCAAACTATTTTCTTTGTTTTTATTTTATTTTATTGGGGGTTCTTACAGCTCTTATCATAATCCATATAGATATATCCATTGTGTCAAACATATCTGTACATATGTTGTCATCGTTTTTTTTTCAAAACATTTTCTTTCTACTTGAGCCCCTGGCACCAGCTCCTCATGTTTTCCCCTCCCTTTCTCACCTTCCCTCCCCCATGTCCCCTTGTTATTTTATAAATTTTTTTTTCCATGTCTTACACTGACTGCTGTCTCATTTTACCCACTTTTCTGCTGTCCGGCCCCCTGGGAGGGGGGCCATATGTCAACCATTGTGATTGGTTCCCCCTCATCACCCACTCCCTACCCTTACCCTCCTAGTATCACTGCTCCCCTTATTGGTCCTGAGGGGGTTATCTGTTCTGGATTCCCTGTCCAGTATACATGGTCTGGTCTAACCAGATTTGTGAGATAGAATTGGGGTCACGGTAGGGGGGTGGGGAGCATTAAAGAACTAGAGGAAGGTTGTGTGTTTCATCGGTGCTATACTGCACCCTGTACTGTCTTCTTTTTCTCAGTCATATTTACAGCCAGACACCATGCCCTCCCTTTCAAATGGTTATAGTCCTACGCTGTTTTATTTGGTTGGGTTTTTTCCATAGTGTACCACTATTACAAGGAGCCTTGGTACTGCTGTGGGCTCAGCTTTGGGTCACTAACGTCAAGGGCCGTGGTTCAAACCCACCAGCCACTCTGCAGGAGAAAGATGAGTCAATCTCATCTGGAAACCTGGGGAGCAGTTCTGCTCTGCCCTACTGACTTGAGTCAGAATCAACTCAATGGCAGTGTTGACGTATGTAATCATTCTTAAAACCCCAAGCCCATGGGGCTGCATTGGTTCAGACTCACAGAAACCCTGTAGGACCAAGCAGTACTGCTCCCTAGAGTTCCAAACCTGTTTTTACAGAAACAGGTGAGTGAGTTCAAACCACCAACCTTTCAGATAGTGGCCTGGCCTTTTTACCCACCATGCCACAGCAAGTACACTAATGCCAGCAAGTACACTAATGCAAGTCCACAGCAAGTATACCATGCCACAGCAAGTACACTAATGCCAAGGAAGGAGCCCTGGTAGCATAAGGGTTAAATACTTGGCTACTCACCAGAAGGTCTGAGCCCACCCTAGGACCCTGCCAGAGAAAGACCTGGGATCTCTGCTCCCATGAAGATAACAGCCTACAAAGCCTTAGGTTGCCCAGCTATGTCACATGGGGGTCGCTCAGTCAGCATCAACTCACTGTGCCCAGCCACAATAGCACCACGCTCACAGGAGTGGCTTACATGCTGGCAAATGGCTATCTATCCTGCTATTTGAATGGTGGTCTCTCGCATTGTGGCTTTCGCGCTTTCACAGGCAGTATTTGAATTCATGTGGTCATCGTGACTATTCAGTACGTCAGTGGCTTTCATAAAACATTTTTTTAAATGGTTCCTAGATTTGGGGATATCACGCACCAGTAGAACATCCCCAAAACAAAATTCAAAGGTCAACCATGTGTACGTGTTCCTTCTAATTTGTTAAGAACATCCTGTTTTTCAAAAGAGAAAGAGAAATCATCCACCATCACCACTGTTATTTTCTAAGAGAAAAGACATTTTAATGGCAAAAAGATCCACCAGGAATAAAGAAATTTACTTCAGCGGAACACCCTGGGACCCTGCCAGAACCATCCCGGTTCTTTTCAAAATAGATAAGGGGGCTTCAAAAAAGTAGGTGGGAAAGTGGAATTAAAAGATTGTGGAATTTTTCCCTTGGATATGTTTAATTTGAATAGGTGGAATATTTGCCGTGAATTTATATCACAATTCAAGGGGTAAATTATACTGAAACAGAAACACGTGTGAGGTGGTTGTTTGGCGCCATCAAGTTGATTCTGACTCGGGGACCCACGTACCACAGAAGGAAACACCTCCCAGTCCGGCACCATCCTCACAAGTG